TCAAATATTTCATCCCTGACCTCTTCTTTTACACAGAAAGCCTTTAACACAATGTTTTTGACAGCCATGAATTCAGTTTTAAGATATCATTAATATAGATTTTAATGCATTTGAACTATATCCAGATATGATTTTGAATCAAGTTATTTTTAAAGGACATATTATATAACTGGCTTTTAAATAATAAAATCCAAATTATACAAAATTTTGAATAAAAGCTGCATATTTTATTTTAAAAAACATTAACTTGACATTTTCCCCACTAATGGGGAAACTGAAGCAAAATGGTGCTTGCCTCTTTTATGGTTGCATAAATTACATTTTTCATTAATTCTCAATATAAATAAAATATATACATCTGGTCAAGTGCATAGTGTAGTGATAGCTTTTTTCCTTATATCAGAGGATATCTCCAAGGTTTTAAGGCCAAAGTTTATTTTGATTACTAGTCCGTCCCCACGTCCCCTGAACTGATTGAAAACTATTAAAATTCAACTCATAATATTGTGGTGTGTGTGTTTTTCTTGATGGAAGGCCACATTAGTCTACCAGTAGATAATATAAGTAATGATCCAGTATAAGATATTAAGACAGACAGACACACAATTACTCAGCAAAGCCAACATGCATGCATATGTTTCTGTGTTTTGTCCTCATGGTAACAAGGACTATAAACAGATCTCACACATGAGAAAATATACAGTAATCAAAATCCTTTTGGGCCATTTCTACATTGGTGCCACAGCGTTCGGATTAATTATATGAATATTAGGGAAGCATATATTCCAAATTTGCTTTCTTTGGCCAAGTTACATTTGGTCATTTACGCCAACTGAGGAAATTGGAACGTTTTGTGTCACAGTCTTTCATAAGTGAGATTTCCGGCCAGTGATTTAGCTGCTAACATCCAATCAGTATTCACCTTATCCCATACTTGGCCACCCTGCCCCTTCAACTTAATCTATGGCCCCTTAATGCCCCCCCAACAAATATATCCTGAGTCTCTTAAGGTTTACAGAAGATATACTTCCCCAACTTTCACACTGCCCAGCTCTGTTCCTACTTCACAACTCTCAGCCTACTTGCTTCCCCCACATCCATGCTTCACTTGTTATAGACTGTCAACAGTATATTCAGCCCCACCTGGCCCTAGGCCTCACAAGGTCTACCTTAAATTAACCGGTGGTTTGCTTCTTCAACGTAGCCACACTGTTTTATCAACAGTCTACCAAAAACCTTTCCCGCCCAATGGAAGCAAAGAGTGTGCAAAAATACATATATTAAACACACAGACGGAGCCAGTGTGATGTGGCTTGAGTGTGCAGCTTGGATGTGGGAAACCCAGATTTGAATCCCCATTTAGCACCAAAGTTGACAGGGCACCCTTATGCAGGCCACTGTATTTCAGCTTAAGCTATTTTACAGGGCTACTATGAAGCTCAAATGCAACAATAATATGCAGAGTCATATTTGCATATGCCGCAATAACTCCTGTGTCTCATATATTTGGATACTTGTAAAGATACCATTCACAAGGCTGGCCTTACAAAACTTATGGCAGAACCTTTTAGACTTCTACAATGGTAGGACAAGAGGCAGCAGCTGTGCTGGTACAATGGTCAGGTTCATGCAGCATGGGATAATTTGTCCTCTCATGCCAGTATTAAAATATGTCAATCCAAGGAATGGCTTGCAGAACAGCCTACACAGGCATGGACTGTGGGATCCTGAGAAGGTTTGAAGTATTTTTACTAGAATTTGGTTCTCAGTCGTGTGTGCACATGTATGCACATGCGTATGTACACAAACTGCGTAGGTACGCCAAGTAAGACAAAATTTAAAACCTCTATCCTACCAAAAACATTCTGTTGTGTGATGCATATAATCCCTTATTTCCATGCCAAAACATTTTTGTTTCATCCGATTTGTCAAGATCAATTTGTGATCTTAGACTGAAGAAACCCCAACTAAAGAATAATGGCAAGAAAAATTGATGGACTATGCAGAACTGGCAAAATTGACATATAAGCTACGGGACAAGGATAACTGTGACTTTAAGGATGAATGGGAACCTTTCACAAAGTATCTGAAGAAGCAACAAAGCGAACTGGACTCTTTGGCAGGTTTTGAATAAACATTCACAATTTTTTTTTACTGATAATAATTAGCTAAACAGTTTGAGGATCTATACAACTTTGTAACATGCAGAAAATAGCATTACTGGAGAAACCAAAGACTGGAACTGAGGGAAGTCGGGGGGGTGGGGTGGGGGTATGGGTTTTGTGGGGGGGGGGAAATGGGGCGGAATAAGGACATGCTTTTGGATAATATGTTTTGTTATAACTTTGAATAAAATAATAAAAATAAATAAATAAACCCTTTAAAAAAAAAGATCAATTTGTGATCTTGTTTTTTGTCTTATGAACATTGTATCAGTAAGGAAAAACCAAATCAACTCATGCTTTATGGAATTAAAACATTATCTCTAACTACGTACATTAAATTTTTGAACATTAAGGATGGAATCTTATACCTATTTAGCAGGAATTACTTCTGAGTAGACCTGCACAGGTTTGCTCTGTAAATATTCCTGCCATCTTTCAGACCTCAACCACAATATTGTCACTGAAACCCTACACCTATACAACTTCCTGTTTCTTAACTTTCATGCACAAATTCCTATCATCTCTAATAAAAGCACATCTAAAATTAAGAATAACACAGCTCAAAAACCATATTGGAGGTAATGCTAGAGTCAGAGATTAAGAAATGGAAATATTAAATAACCTTAAGTACTAAACAAATATAACTTTTACAACAAACATATAAACGTTTCCAATAATACATTTTTATTAATGAAAAACTGACAAAATACAGGAGCCCAAGCAAAATTTCAGAACGTTTACATGAGAAAAAAACTGAACTAAAAAAATTTGATTTTATGAACTGGTATCAAATGCCAACTATGATCAGTGTTTTACCAATGACAGTGCCAAGATTCCCATGGATCTTTTGCTCACAGATATTCTTTGGACCAATAACCTTATTTAGATAGCACAATAAAGGTAACACTGTACCACATCCTGCAAACTTATGCAAACTTATGCATAGACATTAATTTATTTATCTTGAAAGTATGGCTATAAATCATGTTTCCTCTTAGCAAGCTACAGAATATACTACACTAAAATAAAGCTCTACTATGCTAAAGCTCCTAAACTCATTTACTTGCAATTCCACTGAAACCACTGTCATATAGTAAGACCACATCATTCATTATTAACATTCATTATTAACATTTGTATAGCACTATAGCACACAATAGCTAATATTCTCTAAAACACGTCTATTAACTCTGTAAAGAAAAAAACACACCAACTGATCACTTTCTGTCAATATAATATATATTCGCACATGTGCCGACTCAAACTCCAATAGCAATATTTCAATTTAATTCATATGTCTGATAATGTAGGCCTAATAATGAGTTCAGGAGAAAAAAAATATGAGTCAGTAACTGCATCCCAACAAAGTAGAAGTGTGTGCGTACACATATATACACACACACACACAATGACGTAAGTGCTTCATGTTTTTAATATGTACAACATACACAATCTAAAAGCAAAAGCAACAAAATTATTGTGGCATACAGCAAGTGTGGAGGGGGAGACCAGGGCCTTACTAATTCATAACAAATAAACAGATTCTTACATTAGGCCTCTGTTACTGGATAGGTGGGAAACATTTTTGCGTATTTTTCTTAAGAGCTACAATAAACATGGGTGGAGGGGAGCTGCCATCCTTTTTCACAGCACTCTGTATAGTGCATCACTGCATGGGGTATAATAATATTTATTGTACCTCAGGGACATTGCAGGTTGAGAATCATGTTTAGGGACCCCTTTCGAAGCCTGAAAATGACATACGTGTTTCTCTGAAAAATAAACGTGGAGAATTGTCGTCTAAACCAGGGATTTCCCCTTGAAATGCCAGCTTCCCATCATTACAGGGGTAATAAATTCTAAAGGGAAACTGCCAGGGAAACCGGCTCTATCCCTGCCTGCCTGCCTCCTTCAGTTCCCCCAAAGGACGCTCTCAGGCAAGTAGATGCTTAAAGGGGGGGGGGGGAATCAGCACAAGCATGGATGTGCGCGTTACATAATCATACCCAAACATCCATATGCACACGCATTATATAAGAAATGCATTTCTCTGCAATCAAATAGGAGAAGGTGGAAGGGAAGGAGGACGGAGGTGGTGGGGGGCGAAAGCGCCTTCGTTCCAAACCCCTCAGGGGAGCCCATGTGCAGAAGAGGGGAGAGAGAGGGAGATCACATCTGCTTTCGCAGTAACAGCAGCAGCAGCAGCAGCAGCAGCAGCAGGCAGAGCCCCTTGTTAACCCCCTTCCTGTGGCTTTTACACGTCATGGAACATTCCCGGAACGGGCCAACGTTCCACCCACTTCAGGGAACAGACATAAAGGCGCAACACACCAGATAGCCTTCTCCCTTTACCCCTGTCCGCCCTGCGCACATTCGTCGCAAACCGAACCCCCCCCCCCCACGGCGCGCGCAGCAGCTCCGCGCGCGCTCCTCCTCCTCTTCCCCCGCGCGCACAGCTGCTGCCGCCGCCGCCACGAGCTGCTGCTGCTGCTGCTTCCTCCTCCTCGGCCCCCCTCCAGGGGCTCCCACATGCCACCTCCGCCCCACGGCCGCAAGGCGAAGACGACGTCGAACCGAAGGCAATTCAGGCGGTGGCGGCGGCTACTGCCAAGTCACCCTGAGCCCTTGGAGGCGGTGACTGAAATTCCTTCCGACAGCAACCGTCCCCCCCACACGGACACCGCGCGCCACCCTTCAAGGCCCCCTCGGCCCCCTTAGCGAAGCAAGCGCGCGCACACACGGAGGGGGGCTTGCCCTCCCCTTCACCTCGCCGCCAGCTACCTTGACATGGGCAGAGCGGTGCCTCAGCCCAGCAGCGGCAGCCGTGTCGCGTCGCCTCCTCTCTCGCTCGCTCGCTCGCTTGCTCGCTCTCTGCTCTTCCTCCGCCTCCTCATCTGCTCATTAGTAACCATGCACATACTTCTTCCCCACAGGAGGAGATTACGCAAGGCAGCCTGCGCCTCATCTGCATACACTTACATGCTGGGTATTCCCCACATTCCCTAGCAGTAAGGCCACTAGCGAAGACCTTCCCCTTTGCGCACAGAGAGAGAGAGAAAGAAGGGGGAAGCAACGGCGACTTGTGAGGGAGAGACGGAAGGTTTTCTGGAGGGGGGGAGGGAGGGAAGGGGAGGGGAGGCGGTTCCTAGCGAAGGTTGCCAGATATGAACTTCTTATAAACACGAAGCAAAAGCAACCCTGGATAGACCCGAGCCTTTCCCGAGAACGTGGTGGTGACAGAGCCTAGGGCTGCCTCTGCCCTCAAGGCTTCCATTAGTCGCTCTATCGACTGCATCGGAAATGCTTGAGCATCCCAGCGCAGCAGCGAAAGGAGACCAGCACATATTCCTAGCTCCCCCCGGCCCCTCCTTCCTCGGCACCATCTCCCCAAAGGAAACTGAGCAGTTCAGGGAAATGCGGGGGGGGGGGGATAAGTGATGCTACCCATCCGAACACACTAAGTCCCCCCTTTTCACCCCGCTGGCAAAACCTTGAGCTCTCACCCCTGTGTGTGTATATTATTTCAAAGTCTTCTTTCAGTACATGCACGCAAGCCAGCAAAAGCACTTGCTCTCCGACTGCCAAAGGGGGTGGGGGTGGACAAAAACAACCAGCGACATGACACTGCCTCTCTCCCCCCTCCACAGTGACAGTAAAACCCCTGACCGTGGCGATCAAGGCCACCTCAGAGGGTTGTCAGTTGCTTCGAGCCCCACAGGAAAAAGAAGGGGGTGAGTATTTGCAGCAGGAGCTCACCTGGGAGTCACCGAGAAGGAGGAAAGCCCTCTAACTGCCGCCCTTCTTGCTGCTGCTGCTGCCGCTGGTGTTGTTGTTGTTGTTGACGACCGGCCCGTGTGTGATTTCTTGTTGCTCTCTTGCTAAGCCTGTGTCTGCCTTTAAATGCCTTGCTGCATTGCTTTATATAGAGAGGCAGAAAGAGATATTCCGACAGCCAAAGGGCGTCTGATTCGTGTGTTTCTATTCAAACCGATCATTCATCTTGCTTGGCTCTTTTCCGCTTTCTCTTTTCCCTTTCTCTCTCCGCGTCAGCTCGACTTTATTACAAAAAAACACACCTATACACGCGCGCATATATATATATATATGTATGTATGTATAGATATATATACACACACATACATCCACACGTATCAAGGGCAGGCCCGAGAAGCCGCAGTTGTTGTGTGTGTGTGTGTGTGTGTGTGTGTGTGTGTGTGTGGTGTGGCGTGCGTGTCCCCCCCCCCCTTTCTCCTCCCTTCTGGATGATAGGAGCCTCTGATCTGCAGACAGACTGGGTTATTCCTGGCACCACTTCCCAGAACAGAAGTTACAAGGGGAGAGCGAGCGAGCGAGGGGAGAGCTCAGCCAGTGATGTCATCGGATCCCCCAGCGCGTCCCGGGGAGGGAGGGAGGGAGGCAGGCAGGCAGGCGAGGAGGCTGAACCAGAAGGCCAGCAGCGCGAGAGAGCCGCCGCGGGCTCCGCTGCGCGCCTTTGACAGGCGGAGTGCGTAGGAGAGGGGCACCGAGGCGGGGCGGAGAGACAGAGAGAGGGAGGGAGGGAGAGGAGGAGAGGGAGGGGCGGGGCCTCCTTGAGAGCGGAGAGCTACGCGCCTCCCTCGCCGGTCAGGGGAGATCTCGCTTCCTCTTCCCTCCCCCCGCGGAGGGAACTCCCAGGAGAGCCGGTCTCAACTTGCCGGGCAAAAAAAAAAAAAGTTGTGCGACTTCCTCGCCTGAGAATTTCCTTTAAGGATGTGGGTGGGATCTTCTTTCCCGCGGCCAGGCTCCCCTTCCTCCGCCTCCTCCGCCCTTTTTGGTTGCTTTCCGTCCCCGGTCTCCGCCTCCTTCGCCTGGCCAAGGTCATTCCTGCGGCATTTCTTCCTTGCTTTCTTTTTTAAAGTTTGCCTTTTGCGGCTTCTTCCGGCGAATCGCCTGCCCCGCTGCCCTTTTCCCTCGATGCGCCCGGGAGAAGTTCGTCGGATGCTGGCGGGACCTGGCTGTTGCTCCTGCGGCCTCGCGGCTTTTGCCTTGTCCTCGGCGGCATGCGATTTTCGAAAACAAAATGTCTCTTAGCGGCGATGCTTCAGCAGCAGCCGGTGTGGATTTCCAGGCGGGAAGCGAATAGTTTAGGGAATGTTCTTGCTTTGACTTTGGTGATTAGCCGCAATATTTACTTGCGTTGTGGTGGGGGTCTTTTTTTCTCCCCATGGCAGATAAATAAATTCATTTTAAAGAGGTGCGGGGGCGGGTCGTAATAAAAAATATTTTGGTTGATTTGCAGATTTATAGAAATTGTCCAGATCAGATGACGTTCTTTCATGAATGTTATGGGAACGCCAGCAACTCTTTTTTCAAAGGACTGTCAGTCTGAATAGTAGGAACTTCGGAGTTTGTCTGCGCTCTCTGGGCCAATCAAAATTTGTATCTCTTTACCTCCGCTGGGTTTGAGCCATTCTCAAGCAGATATGGAATGGAATGGAATTTGGAAAATGGGATCTAGTAGAATCTAAATTCACATGACTTAAGTTCGGATCACACAAAACCATCAGCAAACGGTGCCATAAAACTTGTGGAACCAAATCTTGTATGTTGCTGCAGCGGTATAAAAAAACATACAGGCTCAAAGAGACATCCTTGTGGTTTTCACATGGAGCCCATCCCCCAAGCCATCTTCAAGGGCACATCCTTTTCTATGGACTTAACATAACTTAATTAAAAAAACCCTAATAATATAAACCCTAACTATAACCATGGACTTATAGCTTTGGGGTCTAGCATCTGCTTTGCATGCAGAATGTCCCAGGTTCAATCCTGCTGCTGCCAGTCAGTGTAGGCAATACTCAGATCAGGGGTTGCTATCCAGGTGGTCCACAGTCCATCTGTGCATTTATGGCTGAAAATGGGAGTCATCACATCCACCACATTAAATATTGGTATTGTTTTTACTTGTAGTTTTATTGTTGCTTTTATTTCTTGTATTTTATTTATTGGAATTTGACTTCTGCAGAATTCAAAATGTAATATTGCAATTGTATTTTGTAATACTACAAAATACAATTGATAAGAAATAAAAGCAGCAGTAAAAGTACAGCCCCTAGCACATCACATTACAATTGCTACAACAGGCAGAAAAATCATTAAGAAGACTGCCAAGACCAGCAATTTTCAAATAGTCTTTTTTTTTTTTTTGCAGGGGGAGGGTACTTTGGGAACCACTGAGCTAGATGGGCAGTGGTCTGACTGTATAATACATCTCCCCATGTTCCTTTCTACCAAGTGGTATCTGGCATTATGTGTCTTCTCTGAATATGACTAAAGTTGCATATCCCACACAAAACCAAAAATTTGAAGCATGACACAGTCTATAGACAAAGTTGTGATTTGATGGTGGATTTGGAGAGACTCCATACAAAAAGCTACACCTCCGGTTTGTGTTTTTGTGCCACTGTGGCACTACAAAACATTGCATTTGTTATTTTTACAGTGTGGTCTGTGGGCATGGATTTGAGCTGTTGATCCATCTTTTTCAAAATAGTGTACAATTCCTGTAAGAAACTAAAAGGAAGCACACATTATTATATTTGAAATGGAAGCTCTTGTAGTTCTCTGATTTCTGGGTAATTTGCAGCTACTTTCGATTTTCACACATCCTGCCAAGGTTTGGCGTTTACTTCTATAGCGTAGAGTTGTAATTTAAAGCCACCACCTCAAATTAGAGTTTAGCCACACTGCCACAACCTTGGACTGGTAGTTCGGAAGAACTGCAATCTGTTTGTTCATACCAAAAGCCCTTTCCTGGCTGTGTGAAATGCAGTACCCTCTGGGATTGGTCCTGAGTGTCTGTAATAATAGTAGGAATTAAAATGTTATGTGAATAGGGGCATGGAAAGAAGCAGCTCTAGGGAACTCCAACCGAGAAATGTGACCTAGGACGGTAATCGTTCTGAGATCAAGTTGTTAAGAATCACACAGTGTTAAGTAAAGTTTGTACCATGCTTGGATCCCCTGTGGCATCATTTTATACTGTTTGCAGCAGCAAATATTACAGGGTTTCAAGAGGAATTTTAAAAACAAAGCGAAATGGTCTAGTAGTTAAAGCCTCCGGGTCATTGTTTAAAAGAAACACTGATAAAAACTGGAAAAGAGGGAGGGGGGCATTTGTTTACACAGAGTTGCAAATGGAGAAGATAAGGACGACAAATTTCAGTCAGCAAAAAGAAACAGAAGAATTAAGAGGTATCTTATAATTTTCCATTTGGTGAAAGAGGGAATACAAGTTTTGACATACCTGAAGCGTTCTGTGTACCCAGAAGAAACACTACATATACAAGTTGCAAATTGTTCACAGGAATTCATAGTAAAGGAGACCGTAGAGACTCATTTCTGACTCATTCAAAGCTGTTTGCACATATTTATTAATTTGGGGAGGTGTGTGAATCACTTCCAATAAGTGACTTATTAAAAACTGCATAGTGTGTGTGGTATAAGAACATACACATGGTGTCTAGAATACTAGAAATTGTTTAATCTTGGAGTACACTGGATACTAGTGCATCCATTAAGTACATGCCCAAGTCATTCAACTTTCAGGCTGATGGCACCATAGGTAGAATCTCACCCTTTTAGGGCTGCTTGGGTAGTTGTTCCATGTATGTTCTGTTACGTATAAATGCAGTTGTTTCAACCATTTTGCGTATCACCAAACCTAAGAATCACATTCAACATGAGTCTGCACAGAAGCCCCCCTGGCTGGGCCAATGGAATGCCAGCTCTGCATGTGGGATAGTAAGTACTTACAGAGTATGTGTGCAATACTGGCAAGCATTTTACCAGACCCAACATGGTGTAGTGTTTAAGAGCGGTGGACTCGTAATCTGGTGAACCAGGTTCGCTTCCCCGCTCCTCCACATGCAGCTGCTGGGTGACCTTGGGCTAGTCACACTTCTCTGAAGTCTCTCAGCCTCACTCACCTCACAGAGTGTCTGTTGTGGGGGAGGAAGGGAAAATAGATTGTTAGCCACTTTGAGACTCCTTAAGGGGAGTGTCAGGGAACTGCCATCGGACGGAAGGGAGGTGAAAGGGCTCACACAGGTTGGGAGAGACGCAGCAGCTGAAGAGGAAACCAACAGGGAGGTGAAAGGGCTCACACAGGTTGGGAGAGACGCAGCAGCTGATGAGGGAACCAGCAGGGGAGAGGAGCTGAGCTGGAGGGATGGCTCAGAGACACTTCCAGCGAAAACAGTGGAGAGGTTTCAGGACCTCCTGTAAGAACACCCACTCCTCGCCGGAAACTGTCACGCAGAGATTCCAGAAGACGTGTTTCCGTTAAGGAGCTTTTATGTTGGAAGCGATTACGAAGCAACCACTGTCGGAATCTGCTAGTGACTAGAGTAGCCATGTCTGAGGGGCTCTGTCACAGACAGAGGTTTGTGGACTTGAACAAACTCTGAGGGATACGATTTTACGCACAAGCAGCTCATCATCCCATCACAGCATTCCGACAGTCTTTGAAAGCAGCTTGTGCAGGAGAAGGTATCATGAGCAACCCAGCCGGAACCGGAGAAGCAGGAGCTGGAGCGGGTCCAAGCCTGGAAGAAAGGTACCAGATGTTGGAGGTCCAGCTAGCGATGCAGACGGCGAGGCTTGAGGAGAGGAGGGCTCAGGATGCAGACAAACCGGGGAAAGCCACCCAGTTCGCCAGAAAGGTACCAGGATTGGTGCAGAAGTTTGGGGGGGAGCCCAAAAACTATCATGGTTTTCGGACAGAAATGCAATATGCCCTCAATCTGCAGTTTGATGAATTCCCTGACGAGGAATCACGAGTGGCTTTCGTGATTGAGCATCTTGAAAAGGGGGGCGAGAGACTGGGTTAGACCCCTGATGGCAGCGAATAGTGACGTCTTAAAAGACACGATGAAGTTCTTTCGCGCCATGGATCTGATGTTTTCCAGCGATATTGAAAAGGGAGTGGTGCGCAGACAGTTAATGGGTTGCAAACAGGGGAGCCGATCTGTCCGTGAGTACTGGACTGAGTTCACCATGCTTGTTCACAGATTGGGGTGGGACTTATCGGCGGAACCCATTCAAATGCTCTTTGAAGAAGGGCTTTCTTCGGCTGTGAAAGACGAACTTTCCCGGGCGCCCAGGGCGGAGTCTATGGACCAGCTGACCAAATCAGCGCTGGCCATAGGAGCGCGCCAGGAGGCGAGAGCATTGGAGAGGCGGGAAGGGAAAGGGGAACGTTGGAAGGAGTTCCGCATTCCAGACATTCCAGAGCCAACTTTCCCACCGGCAGAGCCGATGGAAATCGGAACAGCGCGCGCGCGCAGTTTCAAAGCCCAGTGAGGGGGCAAAGAAGGAGGGAAAAGGCGCCCGGAAATGCTATCTCTGCCAACAGCCAGGTCACTTTGCCAGAGTCTGCCCCCAGAGGAAAGAATGGCAAGGGATGGTAGGGGCTGTGGATGGAAGAGAGGAAAATATACCGGAGCAAGTAAAGCCAACGCCTGGCTGCCACTGTCAGGGCACAGCAGCCAGGCCAAAGAGCAGTGAGAGTGCCCACGCCAGAACCTCCTAAACCCGCCCTAGTGATAGAAGTGACGCTAGAGCTGCCAAACGGACACCCTCTAAAGATAAAGGCGCTGTTGGACTCAGGCAGCTCCTGCAATTTCATGAGCAAAGAGTTTGCAGCTGAACACCAGATACAGACAATCCCTTTAAGCAGCCCCCTGCAGGTGACCACGATCGATGGCAGGGAGCTGTTGGGTGGAGAAGTCAGCTTGCAGACCGTCCCAATGATAATGAAGGTAGCAAGGCACACCGAACTGATAGCTTTTAATGTGGCCACCTTGGGAGGAGCTCCCATTATATTGGGGATGAGCTGGCTAGCGTTACATGATCCGCTGGTGGGCTGGCATCAGAGAGTGGTTTCTTTTGGTTCAGCACATTGCTTAGAACACTGCAAAGAGGGAAAGGGTTTGGCAGGGGTCCAAGCCACCCTAGCAGGGACTGAAGTAACAGAGAACGTGAAGGTACCACGACAATATGCAGATCTCCGTGACGTCTTCAGCGAAAGGGAAGCTGACCAACTACCCCCGCATAGACCCTTTGACTGTCAAATCAACTTACTCCCTGGAGCACAGCTCCCTGTAGGCAAGCTGTACGCCATGTCAGACAGAGAGATGCAGGAGTTAAGAGAGTTCATTGACAAGAACCTGAAGAGAGGGTTCATCAGAGAGTCCAGGGCGGTGGGGGCAGCCCAGTGTTTTTGTGGATAAGAAAAACACGAACAAGCCGAGGCTGGTGTGTGACTTCAGGGCCTTAAATGCAGTGTCAGAACCAGTAGCCTTCCCTATGCCCAGGATTGACGACATTTTGACAAGGGTGCGGAAGGGAAAGATTTCACAAAGCTGGACCTAAGGGGGGCGTACAACCTGGTACGAATAAGGAAGGGGGATGAATGGAAAACCACTATGTTCACCCCTTTAGGGGCATTTGAATATTTGGTTATGCCCTTCGGCCTCCAAGCAGGCTCCGCAACCTTTCAATCGTTTATGAACCACGTCCTGGGGCCTTTGCTTTACAAGAATTGTGTGGCCTTTTAGACGACGTGTTGGTGTATTCTGAGAATGAGGAGCAGCATGTGAGAGACGTCAGAGAAGTGTTGAGCAGGCTGCAAGCCAACCAGCTGTGGGTGAAACTGGAGAAGTGTCAGTTTCATACCAAGGAGGTGGAATTCCTGGGGTATCGCCTGTCAGACAAGGGATTGGCCATGGATCCCGGCAAGGTCCAGGCTGTGCTGGAATGGAAAGCACCCAAAACAAAGAAGGATGTGCAGAGGTTCCTAGGATTTGGGAACTTCTATCGTAAGTTCATCCGAAACTTTGCCCACCTGACGGCGCCCATTACGGACTGTCTCAGCAGTAAGAAGAAGTTCGTGTGGACTGAGGAGGCGGAGCGAGCATTTGAGGAACTAAAAGGGCCTTCGCCTCGGAACAACAACTCCTGCATGTGGATTTACAAAAACCGATGAGAGTGGAAACTGACGCATCAGACAGAGCGATTGGGGCGGTGCTTCTGCAGCCAGGCAAGAAGGGGTCAGAGTGGAGACCGTGTGCCTTTTTTCCGCGAAAGCTGAACAAATCCGAGAGGAACTACACGGTGTATGACCGAGAACTACTAGCCATTCATGAGGCGTTCCGGAGATGGAGGCACCTGCTAATTGGCGCACAACATAAGGTGCAAGTGTGCACTGACCACAAGAACCTAGAGTATTGGAGGACGGCACGAGTGCTCAACCAACGGCAAGTGAGATGGGCCCAGGAGTTCTCCAAATTTAACTTTGAGATTAGTTACGTGCCAGGCCCAGAGAACATTAGGGCGGACGCTCTCTCACGCAAACCTGAATATTTGGAGGAGGGGGCACCGAAGAGAGACATGTCATTCCAGAAGACCGCTGGGTGTGTGGGGCGGCATTGGTGGGACAAAGAGAACTGGTAGAGGAAACAGAGAATGATGAATACGCCCAGAATAAGCTCAGAGGTCTTAGGGGTGATGGAGAGGAACCAGGGGTTTCGAGGAAAGAAATGGAGCTTTGTATTACAAAGGGGCACTGTATATCCCTGAAGGAGAGTTAAGGGGAGGGTACTCAAGCAGTTGCACGACAGCCCTACGGCGGGGCATTTTGGACAACACAAAACCATGTGGTTGGTCACCAGGGAATTTTGGTGGCCTAAGGTGAGGGAAGATGTACGTGAGTATGTAAGAGGGTGCGAGCAATGCCAGCGAGCCAAAGGGGAAAGGCGGGCGCCGGCGGGGCTGTTAGAACCCTTACCAACCCCAGAACGACCTTGGGAGGCAGTGTCGATAGATTTTATGACTGATCTGCCGAAGTCCAAAGGGAAAACAGCCATCATGGTGGTGGTAGACCTACTAACAAAGATGTGCCACTTTGTAGCTTGCTCGCATGCAGTCACGGCGGAAGAGACAGCGAAGTTATTTGTAGAAAACATTTTTAGGTTGCACGGGGTGCCATTGAGGGTGGTCTCAGACCGAGGAAAACAATTTACTTCCAGGTTCTGGAGGAAGCTCATGAGCTTACTGCAGGTGGAGGTCATTTTTCGACTGCCCGGCACCCTGAAACCAACGGGCAGGCGGAAAGAGCAAACGGTGTCCTCCAGCAATACCTGAGGTGTTATGTCAATGACAGAGAGAATGACTGGGTAGAAAAGTTGGCGCTGGCGGAATTTGCCTACAACAATGCCGAGAATGTGTCCACAGGGATGAGCCCCTTCTTGGCTAATTATGGGTGTCATCCCAGGGCTTTCCCAGGGGAGAGGGGAGAGATGGAGCGTCCCGGCAGCCGAGCATTTTGTGGAAGAAATGGAAGCAATCCATCGTCAGCTCCAACTCAACTTAGAAAGGGCGAAGGAAGAATACAAGAGGCAGGCAGACAAGAACCGAAGGGAAGGTGAAACCATAAGGGTGGGAGATAGGGTGTGGCTGTCAACCCAAGGGTTGCCGTTCAAAGGAGGTTGTAAGAAATTAAGACCCAGGAGGTTGGGTCCCTTTGAGGTCATTCAACAGGTCAACCCAGTGGCTTTCAGGCTCCGGTTACCCAACCACATGAAACTGCACCCAGTATTTCACAGGTCGTTACTGTCACCGTACGAAGGGGGACGAGAAGGGCTGGCCACTCGGGGACCGGTCGTAGAAGAAAGAGAATGCAGCAGCCATGTGGCAGAAATCCTCGACGCCAGGTGGAAGGGGGATCAGGTGGAGTATTTGGTAGCGTGGGAAGGAGAACCGGAGTCAGAAAACACTTGGGTAATGGCTGAAGATATCAATGACGAGGTATTGATAGAAACGTTCCATCAAAGGTTCCCAAGGAAACCTCAGCCTGTGGAGAGGTTCCGGAGGGAATACTTTGGGACCACTGATGAAGGGGAGGAGTTGGAAGGATTCCCGGACTCGGAAGGGGAAGGGGGGATGGACTCTGAGGAGGAGGTGTACTTCGAGACCAGGAACCGCAACAGGTTGAGAGAAGTGTTCGAGACATCGGAAGATGAAGGAAGTTCATTCCGGGGTTTTGCCTCCTCACCGCCCGTAGAGGAGGGGCGAGAGGGGTGAAGGGGGCCCTGGAGGGGAGGTGGATGTCAGGGAACTGCCATCGGACGGAAGGGAGGTGAAAGGGCTCACACAGGTTGGGAGAGACGCAGCAGCTGAAGAGGAAACCAACAGGGAGGTGAAAGGGCTCACACAGGTTGGGAGAGACGCAGCAGCTGATGAGGGAACCAGCCAGGGAGAGGAGCTGAGCTGGAGGGATGGCTCAGAGACACTTCCAGCGAAAACAGTGGAGAGGTTTCAGGACCTCCTGTAAGAACACCCACTCCTCGCCGGAAACTGTCACGCAGAGATTCCAGAAGACGTGTTTCCGTTAAGGAGCTTTTATGTTGGAAGCGATTACGAAAGCAACCACTGTCGGAATCTGCTAGTGACTAGAGTAGCCATGTCTGAGGGGCTCTGTCACAGACAGAGGTTTGTGGACTTGAACAAACTCTGAGGGGATACGATTTTACGCACAAGCAGCTCATCATCCCATCACAGGGAGTGAAAGGTGGGATATCAAATACAAACTCTTCCTCTTCTTCAGAGGTCAGCAAACTTTTTCAGCAGGGTGCCGGTCCACTGTCCCTCAGATCTTGTAGGGGGCCGGACTATATTTTTTGGGGGGAGGGGGATGAACAAATTCCTATGCCCCATGAATAACCCAGAGATGCATTTTAAATAAAAGCACACATTCTACTCGTGTAAAAACACCAGGCAGGCCCCACAAATAACCCAGAGATGCATTTTAAATAAAAGGACACATTCATGTAAAAACACTGATTCCTGGACTGTCCACGGGCTGGATTTAGAAGGCAATTGGGCCAGATCCGGCCCCTGGGCCTTAGTTTGTCTACCCATGTTCTTCTTCTTCTACCCATCACTTTTGTTGCATCTCGTCTGGCTGTTCCGATGCACATCAGTGGTGTCTGTAGCACGTATAACAACACTCACTTGATGTGTGTGTCCATTTTAAAACGTATTCCTTGTCATATATACGCAGTAGGGAAGCCATAACTCAGTGGTAGTACATGTGCTTTGCATGCAGAAGGTCTCAGGTTCAATCTCTGGCATCTCTAGGTAGAGCTGGGAGAGACCAGTCTGAAATCACAGAAATTGCCAATCAGTGTAGACAATTCTGAGCAAGATGGATCAATGGTCTTACTCAATATATTGCAGCTTAATATGTTCTCAGTAACAAGGCAATTAAATAGCCCCTACTACTGCCTTTTCTGTGGTGGCTCTCCACTTATGGAATGCTCTTCACAGGGACACTTGCCTGGTACCTTTGTTACATATCTTTAGGTGCCAGGCAAAAACATTTCTCTTCTCCCAAGCCTTTGGCTAATTAAACAATTTGTGGCCTTTTTAACTGGGGGATTGTTTTTGTCTGTTACTACGCTATGCATTTCTGTGTTTTTATATTGTAAACTGCCCTGTGATCCTCGGATGAAGAGAAGTATAGAAGTTTAAATAACAAAAACAACATCTTACATATAGCTCAATACATAGGCAAATGCATTTTAAGAGAAATGTATGTGGAATATCTTGTGCAATATCAGTTCTGAGGACCTTTGGGACCCTCCCAGTTCTCTAATTCCATGATGATATTACATTATTCGAATCTCCTCGAATAAGGTGAAGGGTGAAGGATCTTAGCAAAGGGGAATTAAGATGAAGGGATATGCTACAGTGTTTGCATAGCAATGGCCAGATCAAATCATTTAGCTGAGGAACATGTGTCCCTGCTCTGGAGCGTTGCATTCTAAAAGCAAGTTTTATCGCTATATATATACATACATAAAATCTATACCTACATATTAAACAAGTTATGAGCCGAACTAACCTATGGTGCATTAATATGTGTTATTATTTGACATAAATGATAATGACATCTAACAGAATACAGAACGGGTAGGATTATTAGACAACTGTAATTATGGATATTGAGCCCTTAATGGGGGGAATCATTTTTAAGTTCCCCAGACCCTGAAAAAGTTGAATTTAAATAATGCAGTTTTTACTTGTCAGATCCCCCTTTCAGCTAAGTAGCACGTTGAACGGGAGCTGCCTGAAAAATCTGCCAAACCATTATGAGCACTCCAAATTGAAGATAAATGAATCTCTTGAGTGCCACCCCCAGCTTGTCTTGAATATTCATTTTTACTTTTTATTTTTACAGTATTTGATGAGTGAAAAAGTATTATTTGACCATTTGCAAATGTGCTGGTATAAAAAATGCAAGAAGATGTCTCCAAGAAATAAGATGTACATGAGAACAAAGCGACAAGTTATGAAATATTAGCAGAAAAATGGGTTGTAGACAATGTTACTTCAGTTGTTACACTTCTATAGGTTTCACAGAATAAAGGAACAAATAAAATTCTTTTTCTTATTGGGCCAAGTATTTGTATAAATGGTACCCCTAATTTAAAGCTGCGTCCCTAAGCAAACTTTCTCACAAGTAAGCATCATTGAATACATTGGAACTTACTTCCGAGAAAACATTCATATTAATGTGCTACAAAAGGTGTAATGTTTGTCAAGTGCAGGAGCTGATCTAATGTAAGATATTATTTCACCTGTTCTTTGTCTCTCTTGATTTTTGTCATTTAATCTTCACCGAGACAGAATGTGGCCAACTCCCTTGAATGCAGTGTTTGTTTCCCAATATTCTGATGGGCATCAGTAGAAACTATAAGCTTCAAACATTTATTCTATTTTGCCCTCATCTTTTTTGTGTTCCAGTTTCTATCTGGGTGTACTGCAGAGCTCAACAATTTTCCTTAAAGATTTTCAGAATTGCAAAAACAGAAAAGGGGCTGAGTCAACTACAGCACTATGGTGATCTGCAATGTAGCTTTATTAGACATTGTTTTGTTTTTTTGTTTTTTGTCTAGGAATGAAATTAATTAACAGCAATTACAGTGTGTGAAGCAGACACTCTTAACACCTTTATATTGTGGCTGCTTCAGACAAAAGCTGTCAATGCAAATGGAGTTTGAATACCAGTGCAAACATTTGGTTTACGGTAAGGTTCAACTAGAACACTTTGTATATTGTTTTAATTCTTTATATCTTATCTTCAAACTAGCCTGCTTGTGTAGTAAGATCTTCTGTAGAAGCCTTTCCCCAAACACTGCTTTAACAAAGGTCTATTGTGTAGGGACGCAGGTGGCGCTGTGGGTTAAACCACAGAGCCTAGGTCAGAAGGTCGGCAGTTTTAATCCCCGCAACGGGGTGAGCTCCCATTGCTCAGTCCCTGCTCCTGCCAACCTAGCAATTTGAAAACACGTCAAAGTGCAAGTAGATAAATAGGTACCGCTCCAGCGGGAAGGTAAACGGCGTTTCCGTGCGCTGCTCTGGTTCGCCAGAAACGGCTTAGTCATGCTGGCCACATGACCTGGAAGCTGTACGCCGGCTCCCTCAGTCAATAAAGCGAGATGAGCGCCGCAACCCCAGAGTCGGTCACGACTGGACCTAATGGTCCGGGTCCTTTACCTTTACCTATTGTGTAGTCATAAAGCAGAGAGCCCGTTCTGTGGTGGCTCTCCAACTTTAGAATGTCCTTGCAAAGGAGGTGTGTGTGGTGCTGACTTTACAATTTGTTGGCCTCAAGTTAAGATGTTCTTATTTTTCCAGGTATTTTAGAAAGAATTGCAATTGGAACTGCTTTTCAGGATTTATATCCAGCCCACCAGCCAAAAAAAAGCTCTCAGAACGGCTTACAAAATTCAGTTCAAAGGTGGTCCTTTCCCAACAGCCTACCAGCTAAGAAGATATGGCACACAAGGAAAAAAGAATGGGAAAGAGGAGGAGAAAGCAAGCTTAAGCACAAGTTATTATAGTTGCAGTTTTGGTAAAGAGCAGTCCCTTCCCTGAAGCACTCTTCTCTCTGATGAGATCCAGGAATGGAACTGGTGACAACATCCAGAAGATCTGGTCAGCTCCTGCCACACAGTTCATCCTTGATGGCTATTGAAGATTCAAAGGAGAGGACATGATGAAGTTATCCTCATCCACCCCCAAAGTCAATGGCAGTTCAGAAAACTCTTCCCTGCGTTTATAACCAAGACCTCAGCTGTACTGCAGAGGTGGCAACAAAGCCATGTGCCAGAATTTCCAGAAGACCTCAGTGCTTTAGCATGTATGCTGGGTGTTGATCACTTTGGAAAAATCTGGCCCTCATTTCTCTGCTGAGCATTTGACAATCTGGCCTCAGCTCCTTGATGTGAAAATCTGGCTCTGTACGTGGCAGAAATTAGTCAGAGTAGCATTTAGCACTGCAGTTATGCAACAGACAAACTGAGAAGCATTTGACAAAGCTGCTGAGTTTGTTCTCTTGCTGCGTGTCAGTTCTGTCCTTGATTCCTCCTCAGCTGCCTGCTTCAAAATGTACTATTATAGGACAGGGAGAATTGAATATTTCTACTGGATATATTTGCTTTGGGGGTGGGGTGACGGCAATGAAAACTCTGCCTTTTGTTTTTAAAAATAAAATTGTTTTTGCTTATTAACCATACCTTTTTCTTTTTTCTTTTCTTTTCTTTTTTTGAAGAGGCATACTAACATTTCCCTATTTGAAATATGGAGAAAGACTGTAGCTCAGTGGTGGAGCATCAATATTGCACATGGAAGGTCCCAGCCCAGGTTCAATTCCTGCCATCTCTAGATAAGGCTGGGAGCATCCTTTGTCTGCAATCCTGGAAAGCCACTGCTTGGCGTGGGTGCTGTGGCTGATGTCCTGCATGAAGTACTTGGGCTCAAATTTTGTTTTCTGCCACAAACTTTAATGTTCAAATCAGTAAAGAACATGGGCAAGCCAATGATCACTGGTGGAACAAGTACGGTATATGGCAGGGCTAAGCAAACAAAAGACATTCATTCAACAGCTGACACACACAGCTTCTATCATAAAAGGAGTGGGCAGGCATAACTTTAGAGTGGCAAACAGGATGTGGCTCGGTTCTTGCAGGCAAACGGGAACTCCACCTTGCGGGTAGGGCCCGAACACTCGGTTCACACCAGTCCTGGCATCTCCAAGGGGATAGACAGGTGAGGTGATTGCCTCCTTCCCCTTCAGCCCGATTGGACCTGAAGGTCGCTCAAGACAGCTAAACTAATTATATGCATCACCAGGTCTGAAAGCTCTTACTAGTGAATAAAAACAGTAACACATAAATATGTCATGCTTGTGTTAGAATTGTATATTATTGCAACTGAACTGCACTATATGGACATCCCCTCCCCTTTATTGATTGACTTGCTTTTTCTGCTGCTGCAGTGAAAATGTTCAGTTGTAGAGTCTGTTCTGCAGTCTGTCCTGGTTGTTTAAAAATATAATGCAACCATGAGAATTGCGGTAGTGCCATAGCTGAGAGACTGTGCTCTGAATCAAGAATCATGTTTGTTGCACAAGAGCACCAAATCCGTTTTAAACTAAACTTGGAAATTTCTACATCCAAATCATATGCTCTACCAATGAACTATAGCACCTCCTCCTCCAAGAATGAAAAAATTCATTCTTGATTTTTGCTCAGTATACTCAGATGTTCATAATCAACCCATCCTCAATTGGCTGAACTGCACCATCCACTCACCACCACCAGCATCTTAAAAATATCCTGTTCTCCTTTAGACAGTACATATGGGATTCCTAATAGTATCCAATGCAGGCACTTCCCAACAACTGCTGGAGGGCCATAGGTTTCCTATCCCTGTATTATAAGAACTTTACAGTCCTTAATCTCTGGTAATGTGCTTTAAGTAGATAGATATAAAACACACACACAACTAGTATCTTCTGAGTTGCTCCCTAATCATGATGAATAAGCCACATAAATCACTATGCCAGAGCAATAAAGGTATGCTAACATAGAGCACTTTCCCTCCAATTTATATCTTCTTCTGTGTCACTGTAGAAAGGCTGTATTTTGGCTGGCATGCATTGGTAAAAATGAAGTAAACAAAGAATGATAAGGGAATCTCATTCACTCTCACTAAAGCCCAATATGATAAGTGCAAAAGGCAGGTGGCATAAGCACTAAAGTAAGGATGGAGATGGCACGCTCCAGAGAATCAATCTGCTACATTAATGGCTAATGGCACTCTCTGTATTTATTCATTATTTATCACCCAAAGAAGTACATCCCGTCTAGACTGCAGGGGTCCTTTCGTAGGGGAAAGGCAAAGATGATCTTAATGAATTAACTGAAATTAGTGAGTTGTAGCTAACTCAGTCTGGCATATAAATTCAAAACAACACTCCACACATAGTCCCTAATTTAAATGTCAATAAATACTTCCTCACGAAAATTAAATCATTATCCACAACTATCAAGGTTCCAGAGCTCCTGACATAATGCAATAATACTTCTAGTTCAAGTTTTGGATTAAAAAATGCAAAGCAATTCAGCTTGCCAGGTGGAATGATCCCACTGCCGCTATGTGCTCTTAGTGGAGGTTCCCCTGAGCCCCACCCTAGCTGGTTTCTGGAGCACAGTACGTGGGGGGGTGGGAAGCCCTGTTGTGCAAGTAAAGTCATTACGCAGGCCTTCCATTGATGTGGTTTGTTAGGTGAATCCTGCCCTATGATTGCATCAGATGCCTTAAGCCAGAGGTTCCCAAACTTCCTACTCCCAGGGCCCACTTGCAGCTACAAATGACTAATACCCACCAATCACAAAATATTGGCAGATGGAGACAGCTTTGCATAATCAGTGAGTAATTATCGAAATAATTTTCTACTGCTACCTAATCCATTTTTGGAAATGGATAAATTCTTTGCCATGGTGCTTTCCTTGTGGCAAGGAGTTCCAGAGTTCAACTTTCCTCAAGCTAAGAATCGACATTTTTGCTCTGGAGATATTGTGACTTAGCCTCCCCGTTTTAGGCAGGGGTCGTCTTATACATGGAAAAATATGGCAAGCAGAGGACAATTGTTTCACTAATTTCTAATATAATCTATTATATGAGCATCTTGCAGGAAATCTGGCAAGAGCTGCACCCTGAGTAGTTCTTAAGAGACTGAAGGTTTTGTGACAGATTTATGGAGTTTTAATCAAAAATAAAGTGACCAATATTCCACTCTGAGGCAACTCATGGAATTTGATAAATAGCTCTCAGTTGTTATTAATAGTTTATACAGGGCAATATAAGGAGAACAACAGAAACAACCCCAATATATTATTGTATGAATGGTTTAGAATTGTTAGCATTTCCAGAATCACATCTCTGTAGCATTGCAATAAAAAAACCCCTACTTTTCCTATTTCAGTGTACCCAGTGAAAATGCTACATTGAGAATCTACTTATTAGATCAAGCTCTTGTCTGGATCCAGCGATTCCTTTGGCATGGGGATGGGAGCTCATCTCTGATGCTGGCAAGATCTGCATTAATTTAAATGGAGAGGAGATGTGTGAGAGATTGCATTGCTCCACTGAAATGCCTGAGAATCCATATGTATTTTTTGCATGTGTATCTGAATAGTAAATGCACTGGATGGAAGGGGATTCAAGTGAGTGGAGCAATTAGACGTTTTCCAGTATCACAAATAATTAAACTTATGAAGTTCTTCTCTGTATGTATTCACAATATTGGCAATACTCATCAGAAAAGTAAATAAAATGCAATAGGTTCTAAAATACCTAGGTTTGGCTCATTCTGCAACTTGCTGCTATGATAGCAAGGATAAGGAATCAAGATGAGAGAAGGGACACAGGAAGAGTAGGAATATTTGGGGGAGCATTTAAAGAGATATAATAGTCAAAGAAACTTCCAAGTAGGGTTAGAAATATGAGCAGCAGTTAAAAACAACTAGGTTAGTGTACAGAAGGACTTGGGTGGTATTAGGATATGTAGCAAAATAACGAACAAACGGAACCATGGAGGGGTGGACATGGAAGTCTTCTGATACAAGATAAATGAAAGTATCGGTAAATGTAAGTTGTACATATCAAGTTTTGGAAAATGCATTAATCATAATCAAATACCATGGTTTGGCTTCATAATTGTGGGTGCTCTGTGACAGAGACTTCAGGGCTAGAACCAGGCTTGAACCTCACTTGGTGAGTTGCCTCTAATTTCATGTACAGGTATATGTAACTTCAGGTACAGAAAGACCCTGTGAGTGATAGGTGGTATAAATTGGCATCAAGGAACTGCCAGCCTACGGAACTCATTCAGTCCACCAAGCCTCCCCCTCAACCCAGTTTACTGGCATCAGCAGCTATAAAGGTTCTAGTCAAAATATCAGGAGAGAGCTGGACCATAAAGAAGGCTGATCGCTGAAGAATTAATGCTTTTGAATTATGGAGCTGGAGGAGACTCTTGAGAGTCCCATGGACTGCAAGAAGATCAAACCTATCCATTCTGAAGGAAACCAGCCCTGAGTGCTCACTGGAAGGACAGATCGTGAAGCTGAGACTCCAATACTTTGGCCACCTCATGAGAAGAGAAGACTCCCTGGAAAAGACCCTGATGTTGGGAAAGATGGAGGGCACAAGGAGAAGGGGACGACAGAGGACGAGATGATAGTGTTCTCGAAGCTACCAGCATGAGTTTGACCAAACTGCGGGAGGCAGTGGAAGACAGGAGTGCCTGGCGTGCTCTGGTCCATGGGGTCACAAACAGTCAGACACGACTAAACGACTAAACAACAACAACAACAACAAACCCACTCTGCCTGGTTATGGAAGTAGTGCAAGTATTTCTTAAAGGAATTGGGAGCACAAGCTCTGGCCTCCATAACCTTTTGGTACCAGTTTCTACACACCCTTCAGGTCTAGACTTTTGTACAGCTGTCCACAATCTTGACGGGGTCTTGATACTTTCATATTGTCTCATTGTTCTCAAAGCAGCCCTAGTGGTCAGTGATCAGCAGCCTGTTACTGCATTGTGAAATTCATTATGTTCCTTAATTACTATTCACAGCTTCTTCCTTTTTCTAAGTACTTGTTAGGGCTTCTGTATTTAGCTTCCTCCCAGCACTCTTCCCACACTTTACCTCCAAGTCCCACATTTCTCGTCACTAGACATTAGTCATCCTAACACAGAAAGGGCCGAGTCTTGCTTAAACAATAGTTCGACCAAAGGTCTTAGATGACTCAGAATGTCAGGATTTTCTTCTAAAGCAGCACTTAATATATAGTCCCTAAAGATTAATTCTCACGCTTGGCAGTTCACACATCCTATGAACAGATGATAGGTTGTCATCAACATTCTGTGAAGAGTCAAGAGTGAGGCTGAAATATGGGCCACGCAACTTTATGGCAACCATTAAAGAAACAGGATTCTAATGCCTTTAAGACTTATATAGAAGACCTCCCACTGCCAAATAATTTATTGAGATTTTCTGTATAAACATAATATTAACTATGATTAAAAACAATCATAAATATGCAATAATAAAAACACAGTAAAACTTCCTACTAGCATATTTTATTTTGTAGTCCGAGTCTGTGTGCGCTTACATGAAAGTTACCCCCACTGAGGTAAATGGGACACACTCCCAGATAAGTGTGCATAGGATTGCAGATTTGGGGATTTAGGAAAATGTAGCTTGCCAAGCAAGCACAAGAAAAGGATTCCTGCTTGAATTTCCTTTTCTAACCATTATCTATCTGGACATAAATAATCATTATTCCAGAAAGTTGAAGGGATAGGGAAGAAATTTGGCTCAGATTTTAATGTGAGCCTACACAGCATGCACTTCCAAAACAATAATCAAATCAAAACACAGCTACCCTTTGAAATTTGCAATTCTCCAAATTTTGTGATGTGAAAATGTTCATGAATTTTAATTAGGACATAAAAAAAGAGTAAACTGCTGAAGAAATGTGAAGACCTGAATAATTTAAGACAGGAAAGATGAAAACCTGAATGAAACCCAAATTGGCAGATCCATGCCTAGGTAATTCAAGAGGCTTTGTATTTTATGGTGTATATATTCGTGTTGCAGACATCTCTGATAAACAGATTTTGCAGTGTTTCATCGTGCTTTAAAAATCTGCACAACCTGCTTTAACAAAGTTCATTGTAGAACAAAATAAATGAGGGTTTACACTAGAGTAACTATGCCTTGCCTGTCAGACTGCTTTCATGCCTCTAAACACAACTGTCTTTTCTCCTCGACCTTTTGACACCTACTCAGTTCCTCCTTCCTTTTCAAGTGGATTCCAAGCGAAAATAATTCTAATGCATTTAATACATACACAATATTTTACAAGTTTTGAAACCACTTTACTGCAGCACAGCTGGAACACTATTTTAGTTCAAAATATTGAAGTGAACTCATAAACCCTTTTATAGAAAGTTTATATTTTTAGCAGATGGTTAATAACCTATCAGACCATGGAACTAGCATCCTGCACAATTAGATTACAGATTTGTAAAAGCTATTTACTTGCACTTTCCCTTGGACTCTAGGCTTTTACTAAGCAAGAGACCATCTGACTCACAGACTATTTGTAGACACCTGTTTTAAATGAGCCAAGAGGATATGGCTATGTTGTCTTTTTGTAATTTGATCCCACACTTAGTTGGATGCAGTATTGTCACCTGATCTATCTAAAAACAATTTTTTAAAAGTCCTACATTACTCCACAGAATTGATGCAATGCTGTCTGAAAACATATACTGGAGGTCATAGAAACACTGTAGCAAATGCAATCTATATTTTCATTTTCAAAAGGAAGTGCATTGTGTAAGGAATTAAACAGCGATTGCTGATATACAGCAAAAATGCTTTCAACATTAGTTTAGTTTGAAGAAAGAATTTATGTTCACCAAATATCATGATTAAAATTAAATTAAAACAAGCACCACAGCCTCAATTAACCTTTAAAAAACCCCAAAACCTAATGATTCTCTACTGCTGTGTAGATATGACCCTTTGCCAACTGAGTGAATGGCTCAAAAGAAAAAGAAATTAATCCAAACATGAACTGGGATCATCATCTGTTAGAATATGCTGTTGTTTTTCTTTATTAAATTTGTATACCACTTTATATCTGCAGGTCTCAGGGCGGTTCAGAAGATAAAATCACAATGTAAAAACACAAAATACTTAATTAAAAACAAAAACAAGAACAACTCAATAATCCCGCCCCACCAACACATTTTAAAAGGGCATAGGATATCAATCGGCCAAAGGCCTGGTTAAAGAAGAATGTTTTTGCCTGGCACCTGTAGTTGTATAATGAAAGCTGAATCTCCCTGGGGAGAGCATTCCACAAATGAGGAGCCACAGCAGAAAAGGCTTGTTCTTGTGTTGCCACCCTCCAGACCTCTCATGGAGGAGGCATACAAAGAAGGGCCTCAGAAGATGATCTCAAGGTCCAGGTAGGTTCATATGGAGAGAAGTGGTCCTTGAGATATTGCAGTCCTGAGCAGTTTAAGGCTTCATAGGTCAAAACCAACACTTTGAATTGGGCCGGGAAACTAATTGATAGCCAGTGCAGTTAGATCAGGATCAGTGTAATATGCTCAAACCGCCTTGCCCCAGTGAGCAACCTGGCTGTTGAATTCTGCACTAGCTGAAGTTTCTGAACCATCTTTAGAGGCAGCCCTATATATAATGCATTGCAGTAATCTAACCTCAAGGTTACCAGAGCATAGACAACAGTAGTTAGGCTATCCCTGTCTAGATAAAGGCGCAGCTGGGCTACCAGCTGAAGCTGATGGAAGGCACTCTGCACCACTGAGGCCCCCTGAGCCTCACGTGACAGCAAAGGATCCAGGAATACCCCAACTATGTGCCCAGTTCTTCACAGGAAGTGTAACCCCATCAAGAGCAGGCAACCTCTCAGCCATCCAGTCTAGAGGACAATCCACTAAGAGTGCCTCAGTCTTATCTGGACTGAGTTTCGGTTTGTTGGCTCTCATCCAGTCCATTATTGAGGCAATGCACTGGTCCAGCACTTTCACTGCCTCACCTCCAGATGAAAAGGAGTTGAATGTAATCAACATATTGCTGACAAATGTGAGAATTATGTGCAATACCAGATTTTATAAAGAAAGGTGAGATTTATATATGGAAGATTGTCAGTGTGAAGACTCCTTTGGATGGAAGGTCCGTCCTTACCCAGTTAGCTGCTAGAGGAGGTTCCTTCTGGGACAGTCTTACATTTGGCGACAAGATGGAATGCTCGTCCCTTTCTAGTCTCACTCCACCTTGCGAAACAGCAGGCCTGGTCTCTATTTCCTTCTAAGGGTCAAGAGCCTTTGAGGTGAGGAGAAGCTGAGTATTCTAAAGCAAGCTCATTTGTGATACTAAACATTTTCAATAGGAATTTTTGTATTTTGATATACTTAAAAGATCCTTTAAAATGGCATTTTACCACACTTTAGAGAGCTTGTATTGTATACATACTTGACTTGCTCACTACCATGTCATTAGCTCTTTTAATGTAGAGCAATTAGCTTCCTCTGCCAAATGTAGGCATGTAGTGATCATATGTAGCTCCCTATCTTTAATGAAGTACAACCAAGTATATCTTTCTATTTGGTTGGTTAATAACATAATTAATTCCAGTGAAAACTGATTTGTTACACAACTCTACCTTTCAAGTTCATATACCAGCTCAATATCCATTTTCCAAAGGAAGGGGAAATGCAAAATTCAGCAGAGTATGATATCCCCCTTTAAACATGTCCATATTCTCTATTGAAGCATCTACCCAGCATCAACCTCATCTTCAACGAGGCCAGGAAATATTATTAAGCACAACATGATGCAATATCTTCTTTGAAGACAGAGATGGAAATGAAACTTTGTGTGCATATTCAAGATAATATTTTAAATTTCATGTTCAAACCACAAGCACCACTCATGACTGGATTTCAAAAGGGGCAGAACAAGCAAACCCTATTGAAGTTGCTAATTTGCAGGGAAGGAAAATTAAAAATGAATGTATTTTATTGTTTTTTTTCTTACCCAGAAAGCATTTGAAGGGCAATTTTTTAAAAATCTCAAAATCCTGACATTTTATTTGCCACAAGAAAATCTAGATGGGGTGGGGGTCGGCAAGACATGAGGGTTGTCAAACCACCGCACATCTAACATTGCCTCCCACGTCTAGAAGCACTGCAGGCTTGAAAAAGAACCCGGAAGTCCTGGTTGGAAACCAATGGAATAGTGCTCTCTTGGTTACAGAACAAGGAAAAATGTAGAGTGACAAGCCAGCGGCCTGGAGACGAAGCTTCCTGGTTCCTTTGGATGCTGTTTCCCCCCCTCTCACGAGAGGAACCGAAAGCTATCCATCGGAACACTATGGAGGAACGTAGGCTTTTAGCGGAAAAACACTTAAGACGGAAAAGCAAAGACAAGAGCTCACACTTTTTATCACGCACTTATTATTTCGTGCGCAAAACGTGTGTGTTTGTGTAAGTGTGGGAGATATATAGTGCAAGGGAGACAGTAGCTTAGCCTGACCATACAGACCACCGCTCATATCTGAAAGCAGGCTTTGGGACTGAGGCAGAACCGAAAACCTCAACAGAGAAGCCCCTTCAGGTTGCAGGAAAGGTCGAACAAGCGCCAATGTCCCCCCTCAAACCGCCCCCCTCGCAAGTAAAAAGCAGGTAGAAAAAAACCCTCATGCACTTGTGCGAAGACGGTTTTTCCAAGCACAAAATGCATAGAGTTCTATTCGCGCGGCCTGTGGATTTCGCTTCTACGTCGCCCAATCGCGGAACCTGAGCCCTGTGCGCGGGATGGCAGCCCTTAGCAGCCTCCTCCTCAGAGCCTCTCAGGTTCTCCCTTTCTTTCTATGGGAAGTGGCCAGCTGGGCCGGCGGCGCGCGCTCCTCCTGCCTCCCGCTTTGGCGCGCGCGCCGCCCATCCGAAGTCTCCCTGCTCCCCGAGCGCGTCTCCGTTTGCCTCTTTGCTCTCTGTCTCCGCCGGGCGGGTTCACTCGGGAGCTCCGGCCTCGCTTGTGCAAGAAAGGGGCGGGGGGCCGCGGCAACATGGCGCTCGTGCCGTGCCAGGTGCTGCGCGGCGCCATCCTCCTCTCCTACTTCTCCATCCTGTGCAACTACAAGGCCATCGACATGCCCGCGCACCAGACCTACGGAGGCAGCTGGAAATTCCTGACGTTCATTAATTTGGTAAGTCGGCCGCCCGCCCGCCCGCACCGCCTTCCCCCTGCGCGGGCGTGCGCACCTGGGAAGGGCGGCCGGACGCGCTCCTCCTCCTCCTCCGCCGCCGCCGCCGCCGAGCGACGAAGGGGGCGAGGCCCGCGCGGGGAGGAGAAGCCCCGCTGGGCTCCTCGAGTGCCTCGCGCTCCCTTTGGCTTCCTCCCTGAGAGGAGACCTTGACTGGGGCGGGGCGAATGCTCCTTCGGTTCCCGGGGTTGCCGAACGGAGCCGGGGAAGGGGAGGAGCCCGCGAGGGAAGCTACACTCATCCAAGCGGCGAGAAAGAAGAGATGTCCCCCCCCCTTCTCTTTTATCTTTTGTCTTCTGTTGTCAGTTCACTAATCCCCGCAAACGGAACAGATCGCCAAAAAAGGAGGGAGATTCTTCTTCATGTCATGGTCTGGTTTTCTGGGCATGTCAACATTGATCCAAGACATGCTTCCCCAGACAGCTCCCACTTCAGGAAGAAAGGATCAATTGCATCAATGGAGGATGTTGTAGTTATAGTGGCAGGTCATGACGGTATAAAGCACCAGCATGTTACCCATTACAGAATTTATTCCCCTCCCCCCCCCCCAAAAAATAATAATCAGGAGGGAATAGTTCACAATATTTCTTTCAAAATGGCCACACTCTTCATGTA